CTGAACTGACATCCATATTGGATGCCAGCACTGAAGGTGGTAGCTTTACCCTCTACACCACAGAGCTGGCCTCTAATTTCTGTTTTATGCTATAATCATTATTAAATATTAATTTAAGATAATGTCATATTATATGAATAGTTATGATAATGTAGAAATAACTATCTACCCCAACTCTAGCTTTTAAAAGTGAGATTACTGGGGCCGATGCTGTGGCACACTGTGTTAAGCTGCCATCTGCAGTGCCAGCATCCCATATCGGCACCAGTTTGAGTCCTGGCTGATTCACTTCCAATCCAGCTCCCTGCTAATGGCCCCAGTGTTTGGGGCCCTGTATCTAATTGGGAGATCAGGAGGTAGCTCTCAGCTCCTGACTTTGGCTTGGCCCAGCCCTGGCCGTTGCAGCCATTTGGGGAGTAAACCATTTTTCTCTCTCTGTCCCTTCTCTCTCTCTGTAGCTCTTTCAAATAAATAAATCTTAAAAAAAGAATTTTAAAAATGAAGTTACATTGGAGAAGATATAATACAGAAGAGGACAGGGGGGGAGGCACAGGGATGGAAGAAATACAACCAGAAGTGGTGTCGCCAGGCTGGCCACTTCTCAGAAAGAGAGTGCCTCAAAAAGTTCCCGGCTCTTCCTCAGGCTGCGCTCAGCCAGGAGAAGCCAGGTTCACCTCGAGCACCAAGATCCTCGAGCTCATCAGAGAGAAGCCGATGAGTTCAAGTTGATGAACTCGGATCTCCAGGCTCAACCAAGGCAGCTGAATACCACACCCGCCAAGAAAATCAAAGTTGGTTTTGGCCAGAAAGCTATCATAATCTTTGCCCCTGTTTGTCAACTAAAATCTTTCCAGAAATTTCATGTCTGGCTTGTACGTGGGCTGAAGAAGAAGTTTAGTGGGAAGCTTGCTGTCTTTACTGCTCAGAGGAGAATTTTGCCTAAGCCAGCTTGACAAAGCAGCACGAAAAAGAAGCAAGAGCTCCCTGGGAGCCGCGCTCTGCCAGCCGTGCGCTCTGCGATGCTGGAGGACTTCGTCTTTCCCAGTGACATCATGGGCTCGAGCGTCCAGGAGAAGCTGGACGACAGCCGCTCTAAAGGTCCATGTGGACCACGCACAGCAGAACAGCGTGGTGCAGAAGGGGGACGCTTGTGCTGGTGTCTGTAAGAGGCTCACGGCAAGGATGTTAATTCTGAGTTCCCAGAGTTCCAGTTGTAAACAAAAATGACTAAATAAAAGATGGTTCACAGTTAAAAAAAAAAAAAAAGAAGTTCATGGAAGATGGAATTAAAAGATAAGTTTATTTAATACAAAAACTGTTGAAATCCATGCATATAAGGCATCTTTAAAAAGTCCATAGAAAATGTATATTATGAAAAAACTTGTGCATAGATTTCAAAATTCCTTTGCATCACAATAAACTTACCTTTAAATTCTATTTTCCCATGAAATTCAGAAGCACTGTGGCATGCCCCAAAGAGTCCATTCATGTTACATGCCCATTACTCAAGGTACCCAAGTCGGGGAATGACTGAAATACCCATCACCAGGCGATGATTGATCAACTGTGGCATATGCACACAACAGAATGCCATTCAGCTTTCAAAAAGCGCAGGGTGGCATCTCCTGGGGCAACGTGGATGAGCCTGCAGATATCATGCCCGTGGACAGAAGGCAGTCACAAGAGACCGTGCATCGCATGGTTCCGATATGCCTATAATAGACAAATCAGAGGGTGGGAGGAGTGGGGGAGGAGAAGGTTCTTCCACTTGGCGCCGGATTCCCTTTTGGGGTGAACAAAATGTTCTGAAATTAGTGGTGATGGTTACTGAAGCTGTACCAAAATCCACTGAATTGTACACTATGCAAATGTGGATTTTATCAAACATGAATTTATGTCTCATTTTTTAAAAGCAACGAATAAGACCAAAGCTTTCTTATATTTCTAAAGATCTCACTGAAAAATCTTTCATAAATGTATGAGTATAGTTGAAATGTAAACACTTGGAATTTGAAGTAATAGTTAAATATATTATAGCCTAATGCCATCTATCCTTCAGCTAAATGACTTGTGTACTGTGGGAAATAGGTAGACATCTCATCTACAAGAGGCACATCCTGTTTAAATCCGTCTCTCAACACACACACACACACACACACATACACACAGAGACACAGTCTGTACACTTTATACTTTTTGAAAAAATTAAGTTGCAGTAATCATAAATCTTCACCCCAAACCTCTTTAAAGGTATATTTTCAAGGACCAAGGATATTCCCTAACAGAATCACTGTACAGTCATCAGTTCTAGAAAAGTTAACCTTGACACAATACTGACATCTAAAAGAGTCCACACTCAGAGTTTGCCAGTTGTCACAAAACTTGCTTTAGGGCAGTTTGTTTTTCTAAATCCAGGATCATGCGTTGCATGTTGTCCCCCATTTCTTCGCATCTGACAGAGTTCCCTCCCTCCCTCCCTTCCTTTCTTCCTTTTTCTTTCTCTCTTTCTCTTTCTTTTTCTTTCTCTCTTTGTCTTTTTCTTTCTTTGTTTCTTTCTTTCTTCCTTTGTTTCTTTCTTTCAAGACATCCATATTTTTAGAGAGTGCAGGACTTGTTTTTTAAACACTGTCCCTCTGATAGTTTTCTCATGAGTGATTAAGGTTATCTATTTTACAGTATTTCTATCTATATTAGTTTCCAAGAGCTATTATAACAAATTACCAAAACTTAGTGGTCTAAAGCAACAGAATTTAATTTTCTCGCCTTCTTGGAGGCCAGAAGTCAAGCCATCAGCAAGCCCAGTCTATCTGGAAGGCTCCAGGGAGAATCCTTCCTGCCTCTGCCAGCTCTTGAGCCCAGCATACCTTGGATGGTGGGAGCTTCACTCCTGCTGCTTGTGGCCTTCTTTCCTTCCCTGTGTCTCTTCTCTTTCTATAAGGGCATTGTTGGATTTAGGGCCCATCTGATTAACCCAAGGTTCTCTCCCCTCAAGATCCTGGACTCAGTCTCATCTACAAAGAGCCTGCTTCTTTCTTTCTTTTCTTTTTTAACATGTACGTATTTATTTATTGATTTGAAAGGCAGCATTACAGAGAGGCAGAGATAAAGAGGGACAGATCTTCCATCCGCTGGTTCACTCCCCAAATGGCCACAACAGCCAGAGCTGGACATATCCAAAGCCAAGAGCCTGGAACTTCTTCCAGATCTCCCACAAGGGTGCAGGGGCCCAGGGAGCTGGATTAGAAGTGGAGCAGCCTGGACTCAAACCGGTGCCCATATGGGATGTTGGCACTGTAGGTGGCAGCTTCACCTGCTGCGCACAGCGCTGGCCCCAAGAACCTATTTCTAAATAAGGTCAAAGTCACAGTCATGGGTAAAGGGGTTACAAATAGGATCACGATCTTTTCAAATCCACAGTTCAACTCACTATTTTACCTAAATGATGTGTCTTTCTCAAAGGAGAATACAAAGTTGTTCCAGATGTAGACAGAACCAGGAAGCTGGCGGTTGTAAGAAAAAGTTGTAAATTCATATTGATATTCTAATTCAAATTAGATTTTTCCTAGCTTCCCCACATTGCATGTTTGTGTCTTTCTTCTACAATGAGAATTTTAGCTCCTAATGTTATCAAAATATGTACCTATTTGATCAACCCTGTGGTATACATAGTTTAAAAATTGCTGCATTCATATCATTACCCCAAATAAACTGCCAGATAAGGCCAGAGATTTCACTGTGGTTGTCTTTGAAATTATGTAGCCAAGTTCGAAAGTTACTCGGATCAACTCACCCCCATGTAGTTATGTTTTCCACTAGATATGCTGTTCCAGTAGATTTGTGTCCATTTGAACTCTGTTTTAGGCTTTGTTCCTCTAACTGTATTTGTTGAACGGTAACACTTTAACATGGTGCTAAAAGTAAAAGCTCTGTGCAAGGAGACTGGGAAGTCAATTCCCTCCCCTGTCTGTCCTGCCTTCTTCCCAGCTCCCGTGGGTAGCCCATTCCACTAACTTCTGGTGTACCATTCCTGCTTTTTTCTGCAGAAATAAGCAGATACACATGTGTTTTATTTTCCTTTCTTTGTACATAGAAGGTAATATACCATATACCATTGTCAGCCAGGACAGTTTTGTGCTCTGGGGACATTTCCCTTCGCCACTGGAAGGAGTGCTGCTGACATCTAGTGGACAGAGACCAGCTGTGCAACTGCACATCCTGGTGTGCTGCTGAAAAACCTTGTTGGGCATCTCCCTGTGCGATGGGCTTTGCACCTGAACTACCCACCTTAGAGCTACCCTCAGTCAGTTCACAGTTTCCTCAGCCTCTTTCCTAGCTGCACAGGGAATACACTACAGTCTACTCCGTCAGCCTCCTTTGCACAGGCATTTAAACAAAATCCTGTATTGTATAGCCTTATCCATGTTTGGTATTTCTGGAAGTACATCTTTACACTGAAGTCCCAGAAGTGGGTCAAGGGTGGATACATACGTTTGCCAAGTCCCTCCCAAAGAAGCCACCATTTGCATTTATACCATAACAGGAGTTCTGTATTTACACACAGCCTGCTAGTGAAGTGTTAACACTGTTACCCATCTGATATGTGACTCCATGTTGTGTTAATTTGCATTTTTCTTGTTATGAATGGCATTTTTTTTTTAGTTTTATTTGTTCACATTGCTGAGTCAAATCCTAAATTTTATATTTGACCCAAATAATTTTAGGTGAAGTACAGGAGACACCACCAAATGCAATGAGACAAAGGATACGTTTCTCTACTGAAAATGTTCCATGATGTCTTACAGAAACTTTTCTTGTGTCTATGTCTCAAAAAGTGTTCACGCAACTGTAACAGGTATTATTGTTTTTAGTGTTCATCACCAGGTAACGGTGATCCTAGACTTCTCGTGTGTAAAGTCTGCTCTGAAGTTTCCGACCCCTAGGGTATTCCACTGAGCTAAAGTGACCTGCACACTAGGGTCGTCGTGCTTGGTGTTTTTCAGGCCGTACATGTCTCTTGGAAGTCTTCGGGATCAAGTCATCTATCCTGATTCAGTGGATGACATGCATGATAAAGGCTATACAGACCACGATTTGGAATGTATTCTACGCAACGTCCACCTCTATCATATAGTTCAGAGAGAAGGAGGTACGGTCTATCATTTTCAATGCATTTAATTTCATTTCTTAAACTGGAGTATATATGTTTAATCTATGGTTTAATTTGAATATATGCAGTAATAGAAACATGAGCACATCAGTGTAAAAATGGATTCTTATGCCTATTCCTGATTGACATTTCCTTCTCTGCTTGTGCTGTGTTTAGTGTGGCTCCGAACTTCCCAGCAAGTCTGTATGTCACAGCAGCCAGCATTTAAAAACAGTTTTGTTCTGTTATATTCAAAAGCACAAGCGTCCCTGAGGCCACTGTCACTCTGCATGCAGTTAAATCTGTGGCAGAAGCATTCACCTGCCAAGCCCTTCACTTGCATTAAATTTAATTATTCAGGATGTAGGTATCACGGAATTTCTTTTTCATTTTCAGAGCCACAGTCTTACCAGTATATTTTTTTCTCTCTCGATCAGCACATAGAAAATTAAAGTATAAAATATTTGTGTTCTGTTTTTTCAGAACTTTTGAAAGAGTAGCAATAACATTTATACACATGAGCTTTAAAAAGAATTATCTTCTTATCATCAAACTTCCAGAAAATTTGGTAATTCATATAATTTGAAGGTCTAAAAAAACTAACTGAAATAAGAAGCCAGAATTCCTGGTTTATTTCTGTGTGGATCTGCATTATTGGAAAAAGTAGAGCAGAAAAGTGACTGAGGATGTGGACTTTGAACTCAGAGAATTCTGGAATCAAGTGTTAGCACTACTCTCTGTATCTTCAACTGTAAATTAAGGTTTCTGTGAAGATTCAACAGCATTTCCCATAAAGCACTTTGCACAGTGGCACATGAACGCACAAGAATTGGCTGCCAACGGTGATGCTGGCTACTGTGAAACTGACGCTCCGGGATTTGTCTTTTTGGAATACTACTTGATATTTTACATAGCAGTTTCACAGATATTATTTCATTTGATCCTTACAGTAAGCAAATAGGACAGACAAGAGAGATAATATTACATCTATTTGCATGGTATTTCCAATTGTCTGCTTTTCAGACAAAGCAGGCTGTCTGTGTGCTTCATGTGGTTGACTCTTCCGCAGCTTTGAAGCCCTGTGGCAGAGTAAGTGCTACATGGGCACCTTGTTAAACAAGTTTGCAGCCCAGTGATCCTAATAGAAATTTTTATTTATTTATTTATTTATTTGACAGGCAGAGTGGACAGTGAGAGAGAGAGACAGAGAGAAAGGTCTTCCATTTCCATTGGTTCACCCTCCAATGGCTGCCGCGGCTGGCACGCTGCTGGTGGCGCACCGCGCTGATCCGAAGGCAGGAGCCAGGTGCTTCTCCTGGTCTCCCATGGGGTGCAGGGCCCAAGCACTTGGGCCATCCTTCACTGCACTCCCTGGCCACAGCAGAGAGCTGGACTGGAAGAGGGGCAACCAGGACAGAATCCGGCACCCCGACCGGGACTAGAACCCAGTGTGCCGGCGCCACAAGGCGGAGGATTAGCCTAGTGAGCCGCGGCGCCGGCCCCTAATAGAATTTTATAATAAGCATGGAAAATTCTATTATTTAAGGTGCCATCAAGGGTTTCTAGAAGCAGTTTTAAGAATATTCCAACTTTAATAATGTAATAGTAATTAGTATGTTTTATTGAGTTCTCACTGTTTGGAATATACCATATTGAGTAATTTATCCATATTATTTTATTTAATATTCACAGCGGTCCAGTGGTCTAGGTCTCACTATCCCCATTCTACAGGTTACATTCAGAAGGTTAGTAACTTGTCTCCTGGCAAGTGGCAGGACAGGGAATCAGACCCAGAACTGACCTGAATGTTTGTATTCAGTGCTAGGCTAGCCTCTTGTGCTGTGCTTCCTTCTTGTTGGTTAGACACTAATCAGAACTACTGTGTCTGACACATAAAACAATTCCAAAGAAACGAATTTTACTTGCTTAGTCCGTAAGCAGGAAAACACTGAAAATTTACAAGTATATCACTTTGGAAGAAGCCTACTGAAGTTCTATTTAGACTAGCTGAAATATGGAATTAAGAATTACCTTCCATTCCATTGAACAGGTTCACAGAGAGAGAGAGAGAGAGAGAGAGAGAGAGAGAGAGAAATAGAACGGGTAACAAATGGGCAGGAGTAAAAGGGTGCATCTCCAGGAAGCAGAGAGGCCTCCTCTTCTTAGCTGGCTTGGTTTCACTAGATCAGCATCAGAAACAACCTGGTGACTTGGGGCCCTGATTTAGGAGTTCTGTGACCATGCGAGATCACATACAAAACACTTGGAGTTTGGCAGAACCAAGAACACAATTTAGGAAAATATATAAAAAGGTTAAGCTTCTTTTTACGCAAATACTTTCCTCTTGTCCCTTGTTCTCAGTGGGCAGGGAAAAACAACTTTTTCAGGCCCAGAACATTTCTCCACTATGTGGAAACTGAATCTGTTTTTTAAAGTCATCACTTGTATTTCATAAGTGTCATAAAATTCGGTCACAGGGAAAGTTTTGTTTTCAGTACTCTTCCCTAGGAGCAGGAGCAAGAACTTTGAATCGGTGGTATTCTGAGATTTTCCCACCAATGATCGGTGGTATTGTGAGATTTTCCCACCAATGTAAACTTATAAGAATACATTTGTATATAAACAGTTTGTAAAAGACAACTCCAGAAGATGAACAGTAGTCCCCCTGGGAGAGCAGAACTGGAAGTCTGTACAGTAAATAAAGAAGGTCTCTTTCACTCTGAATAAGTCTGCATTGACAGTTATTAATATATTGCTTTTAATGTATTTCTGTTTCTTTAATTTTTTGGGTAGGTCTCACTTGCATAAATTTCAAACTTTGAGAATATTTAAAAATGTACTCTAGGAGTGGGCAATTGGCTTCTGAAAAAATTTCTTCTTGTTTCTGTTCCCTCCCATCCAGTTATCGCTTATCCCTCATTAAGTCACCACTGTTCACTTTCTTTTTTTGATCTTTTAGATTTTCTTTTATTAAATGCAATATACTTTGTAATGATAATTTTTAAAGGAAGAAGGTGCTAAGAAACATAAAAATGCTCTCTATGTTTAACAGGTAACAGATGCTATTCTACCAGAGGCTCTGCACTTTGGATGTCAAAGGAAAATCTAAACTCCTCTGACCAGTAAAAAATTCAAATAATCCTTCTGATGATTTGGCTTTTTTGAAGCCCAGTGCATTTAAAACAATGAAGACAGGATTTCCTATTTTCTTTCCCTTTGACCAAGTTTATTCAGAAATTTCAATGGCAGTGAAAATTCAGCGAGAGGAAAAGATGAGGGCAAAGAGCCTGAATTTTTTCCAAATGGGAGAGTTAAGTCTTGAGCACTGAGAATGTGGCAATGCAGCCCTCAGTGTGTAGAAAGTTCTGGCGCTCATTTTCTTCTTTAGAAATCAGGCTCTGCCGCCAGTGGAACCATAGAGTGGGTTTTTTTTTTTAAGTAATATTTTTTCTAACTATAAAATTGATAGATTTATCATAAAAAGTTCAAATATTATAGTAATGTGTAACTTTGAAGATAAAAGTCTCTTAATTCCAGTTTTACATGGTGTACATATGTGTTTATTTATAGAAATGTATATGTATGTATATATACATGTGTTGTGTGTATATGAAGGGACCTAAAAAAGTTCAGGAAAATGGAATTAAATAAGTTTATTTTGGTGGAAAAATTTTTGAAATCCATGATTGTTTTCCATAAACTTCTTGAAGACTCCTCATGTACTCTTTCAACTTAGTTTCTATAAAAACTGTCATAGACCCATTGCCTTGCTACTACGTGTAGATCTAATATATTTTTTAATTCAAGACTTACTTTCTGATTAGCATTAAACCTGAAGACATTGCTGGAGATGGTATGCGCAGATAAACTGTAGAAGCATCAAACAGACCTGGATATAAATCTTGGTTCTGATATCTGTGTATTCTTAGACATATAAAATACCCCATAAATTTTAGCCTATTCCTTATAAATTCACGTATAAATAACTGTCTTCTAAGATGATGACAAAGCTCTCTTAAAGTCCCAGGCATGTGGGAGCCACTATACGTGGTTCCCCTCTCACAGGCTGTAGACTCAGACTTTACAATTGCCTGGTATGAGTTTGTTTATCTTTTCTTCCTTCAACTCCAAGGTAAGTATGCACCTCCTAACCCTTTGGAGAGACTAGGAAGCAAACCAACTGCTAAATACAGGTGCTCAGAATTCTTATAAGACAATTTGTCGATGTAAGAAATTATTGCCATTAAGAGAATATCAGATCTACACCAAAATGCTTATTCGAGAGGCTCTGTCATTTAGCCAAGCGTATGTTTGGTGCAATCCCAGGCTGTCTTCATGTTAACAATTTGAACTTGCCAGGAATCACGTGTCCAGGTTGGAAACAGTAACAGTTAAACAAGTGAATTATAAAATAGTGATCTTTTTATTTCTGCAGGGTGGGATGCTGTGTTGGACTGGAAGGACGTCTTGTCGGGAGGGGAGAAGCAAAGAATGGGCATGGCACGCATGTTCTACCACAAGTAAGCTCGCTGAGTCCATGGGGCGCCAACGCACAGAGTTGACAGTCCAATTTCTGAATTTTTTTTCGTGTAATGGAATTTCCAATTATTTTATTTTTCTCTGGCTTTTTTTTTTTTTACATTGCGTAAAGTTAGATGACATAATGTCCATAGGGCTAAGTTATATATTTATGTATCCTAAGTTTCAAAGTAGGATCATTACTAATTTTCCAATGTGAGGACTACTTGGCCCTGATTACATGGGTATAAACCTGGTAGGTAGGTCTTCAGTAACACTTCTGAATTTAATTATTAAATTCAAAATCACTCAGCTCTTTAACCTGTTAAACAGTTTTCTCCCTTTCAAAAATCAGAGCCATAGCCAAAGGAAGAAGGAGCCAGCCACAATGTCCATGAGGATGTGGGAATAATTTCTTTCAAAAGAACTTTTCTCTTTGTGACCCGCCTCAGAGCGTTCTGAGTTTCAGGACAGCAAGCACAGGGCACAGGATGGAAACCCAAAGCCACCTGATCCTATCCTTGTGTTTGTCCTATACTCTGCAAAAGAAATCTTTCTTGTTTTGATTTTTTTTTTTTTGTCTTTGACATCTGGCAAAGAGGACATGAGTTGTGCAGAGAAGGGGCGTATTGGGAACTGTATTAATCACTTCTAGTTCTTGGACTTGACCGGGAACGGGCCAAGAGTCATACTCATCAAAGCATGAATAGGCCCTAAGTTGGGGCAGATGTGACGTTCTCCAGTGAGTTCCAGTGGAAGCTGTACCACTTTTTCAGAGAACTTTAAAAAGCTAATAAAGATAGCAAAAGTATATCAAATATGCCATCTTGAACATTTCACAACTAGTGGCTATCAAAAGTTATCAAAGAAATCTTTAATTATGGGGGAAAATCCAAACTTTCTCAAAAGATAGAAATTGTAAAATTAACCCCGTATTCTCACTATACTGATTTGGCAAATCTAACCTTTGCTACCTCGATTTATATACTCTTTTATTTCTGAGGCATTTAAAGCAATCCAAGTTATCATGACTTTCCCCCCTAAATACTTTGGCATCAATTTGTGAAATATTGGCACATTTTCTCACACAACAGATCATAGTCATACCTAATTACACTGGTAATTATTTAATCTTCTTATACCTGGTTCATGTTCAAGCTTTCATGGTTGTCTCAAAAATATCTTTTTTATGCTTGGCTTGTTCACACCAAACTCTAAACAAGTTTCACACAGTGTATTTTGCTCTTACATCTCTTAATTATTTTTTACCATAAAGAGTCTGTTTTCTTCCCTGGTCCCAGTACCTTTTATGTCATGGGCTTGTTGAAGAAACAAGGTCACTGGTCGTGCAGGATGTGGCTTGTTCTAGACTTGTCTGCTTGCTTCTTGACCCTTTTATCTGGTTCTTCTAGCTTCCATTTTTCTTGCACCTAGAAATTGGAGTAAAAGCTTGGTCAGATTTGGCTTCAGCCTTTTTTACAAAACTATAGAAACATATAGAATGTTTATCATGAAAAACATTTAAGCAATTTTATTAAAATAGAATTGTATTGGCCTTTTATAAAGGTAGAAAATGTAGATAAAAAGGAGAACAATTTGTTATCTCATAGGTATAAAAACTATTAAAATTTGGGGATAAATTTCTTCCCAGTTTTGTTGGTAGACAAAAGTTGGTTGTTATTTGTCGCTCCCCGTCTTCGTGGAGGAACGACACAGGACCCTGTGCTGTTCTTTTGTCTGTTCGGCCCTTCCCGGGTTGGCTGCCGTCCCTTCCACCTCCGTGGAAGGGCGGTTCCCCCTGGCCACTTTCCCCACTTCCGCGGGGGAGCGGCACACCGCCAGCCGGCTCTCTCGGGGGCTGCACAGGTGTTCCTTCAGATAGATGTTCCCCTTAGATGTTCCCGGTGCATGTTGTCTCTCTCCTCCTTTATAGTCCTCTTCCGCCAATCCCAACTCTGCTGCCCACACGCCGAGTACGCTGCTCTCCTCCAATCAGGAGCAGGATCAGCTCCTGGAGGTCATCACTCAAGTTGGCAAGAGGCAGCTGCGTAGAAGCTGTTTACTCCTCTCCCAGCGCCATATTGTGGGAGAGCAGATGCATAGAATAAGTCTTAATTCCAGTAACTCAGTCCAGTCCGAGTTGCTCCCCACAGTTATTTTGATTGTTTTTACTGTAGCTATTTTCATCAAGTATACTACAGTTTAGTTATTTTTTAAACTTTTATTTAATAAATATAAATTTCAAAAGTACAACTTTTGGATTATAGCGGATCCCGCCCGCCCATAACCACCCTCCCACCTGCAAACCATCCCATCTCCTACTCCCTCTCCCATCCCATTCTTCATTAAGATTCATTTTTAATTATCTTTATATACAGAAGATCAACTTAGTATATACTAAGTAACGATTTCAACAGTGTGCACCCACACAGACACACAAAGTATAAAGTACCCAAACAAACACACAAAGTACTGTTTGAATACTTGTTTTACCGTTAATTCGCATAAGTATACAACAGTTTATATAGCTGTTTTTATGTTCTGTGCTCTCATGTACTTCTTTATTATTATTTTTTTTTTTTTGACAGGCAGAGTGGACAGTGAGAGAGAGACAGAGAGAAAGGTCCTCCTTTTGCCATTGGTTCACCCTCCAATGGCCGCCACGGCTGGCGCGCTGCAGCCAGCGCACCACGCCAATCCGAAGCCAGGAGCCAGGTGCCCCTCCTGGTCTCCCATGCGGGCGCAGGGCCCAAGGACCTGGGCCATTCTCCACTGCACTCCCGGGCCACAGCAGAGAGCTGGCCTGGAAGAGAGGCAACCGGGACAGAATCCGGTGCCCCGACCGGGACCAGACCGGTGTGCCGGCGCCGCAAGGTGGAGGATTAGCCTGTTGAGCCACGGCGCTGGCATCTCATGCACTTCTCTGTGTAATTATGTAATAATAACTAGCCAGAATTTATTATTATTATTATTATATATGTACCAAAGGTACAAATTTTAATACACAATTCAATGACTTTTGGTAAAACTGTACACCATGTACCAGCACCCTCATCAAGTAGAGAACATGTCTGTCATCCTAAGAGTTTGCTTCCTGCCCATTTCCAAATCCATTCCCCATGGATTTGTTCTGTTCTGATTTCCATCATAAATTAGCTTCACTTCTTCCCCAACTTCATATAAATGGAGTCATATGTTCTATATTGTTTTTGTGTCTAGTTGAAAGTTTTTAGTGAGAAGAATATACTAGCTAATGACATGTGATTTATGACAGTGTGCGTGGTTAGCATAAGAAAATGGTGGTCTAAAAAATAGGAACCAAATTTTGCAAATTCAGAGTACTTAGCAAAGTGTATTTGGAATGCTCTTTCCTGAGATGAGATTCACATGTAAACTCCAGAGCTTGACATTTGTGACCAGCTGTTACCCCCTCTCACCCCAAGTCCATCTGGGTTTTGTACCTAACTATGATCAAAGGTATAGTTGGTGAAATGTAATGTGTTGGGACATAAAATATGGACACAAAGTTCTCACCATGTCAGTATGTTAGTAAAATA